ACAAACAGGGACAAACTTTCGCAACTGGCACGAGTCGTCTGGGTGTCTGCAGTCTGCACCCCCACCCTCCACCCCCCGTTTTACCCCAACTGCATGTACATCGTCTGGCGCAGCCCAGACGGCATACCACAGCATTCGAAATCGGAACTTTTTGAATTAAAAAAAAGTGTAAAAAAATGAAAAATGTTGGAAGAGGGGAAATTGCAGAAAAAAGGGCTGCGGAGGGGTAGGAAAAAAAGACGAGAGGACTGCTAATAATAGTAACTACTGGGTAGAGTACACTATATCGTATAGACAAACCCTCCAGTGTCTGCGGTTAATCGGTAATCACGGTGCATTGCCTTCCACCGTCTAGCCGTCCTGGCCTATTTGCCCATTTTCCCACCCTCGTCGATTTCTACTCCATACCACCCAGAAATGGCTGACACGTCTGGCAAACTTTATCACTTGTTTCACAAGTCATTTAACGTCTATTACGTGAATTATCATAATGAGAAATGGTGATAATGCGCTATTTCGTTTTTGCAATTCCGTTTTTTCTTTCTGGCAGATAAACAGGGGGTGGAAACTGACCCCATTGGACCTTTAGACAATTTGGTATTTCATTAAGGATGTACTACACTCTTTTGGCCAAAATTCACGTTTTTTTCATTTTTCTGGCAAATTATTGAGCGTATTGACGCGAAATAATATACTTTTTTTGCGTTTTATCATTATTGACTGACTCACGAAGTTTCATGGTAGTGCAATCATTTTCCTGCATTTTTTTAAAAGTTTTGTGAATTTCCGAAAAGTTTTAGAAAAAACACAGGAAAATGATTGCACGATCATGAAATTTTGTGAGCCATTAATTAATGATAAAACGCAAAAACGGTATATTTTTTCACGTCAATTCGATCAACAATTTGCCACAAAAATTCAAAAAAAGGTGGAATTTTTGCGAAAAGTGTGTAATGCATCCTTAAAACGATGCATTTTGCCTCAGGTTTTTTGAAACTTGAACATGACTGCAAAAAGATCAATTTTACCTTCAGCTTTGCCATTCTGGGGACGAACACGGGCCAAGATTGGGCCAGTGCTGGGAGCCCAGCATGGACCTCCCTTGGCTAATCAAATAATCAAGTAAGGGAGTTTGACCCTCTTGACCCTCGTAGCTACTGGTTTGATAAAATTGAAAAAATTAATTGATACATTGTTTTCATAAAATTTAATTCACATTCTTCGACTGATCCTTCCTAAAGAAACCGATAACTGCACGGAGAGAAATGTTCAGTAAAAATTACAATTCATTCACCGATCCGGGATCGACTCAGATAATTTAAGTGACGNATATGGCGATTGATCAAGACTTTAAAAATGGTTAGATCTCACCATTCTACCCGGCCAGGAATCGAACCTGGAACCTATCCGTTGTGAGGCAACGGCCTTAACCACTACGCCAGGCCACCGGGCACAATATGACCAAATGAATATTCGTTAATAGTTAACGAATGGTTCACTTGAATGGCGAAAGTCAAGTCAAACAAGGCTCCTCAAATGTACATTCGTTAACTATTAACGAATGAACATTTGGTGGAACCGAATAGATCCTAACCTCCCACCAAAATCCATTCGTTAACAATAACTAATCCGTTCTATTAGTGTATTGTAATTTTTCACAGGAGATTCAGATAAAAATTACGAAACGCTCCGGAAAAATTCCCTGACGGTTCCGTAAAATTTCCTACCTCGACATTTCGCTCCGGAATTACGGTAAATATACGTAATTTTTATTGAATATTTCTCTCCGTGTGTTGATAATGATGAGTGAAAAGTTGGACTCGTCGGGATTCGATCCTGGAACCTCTCGGTTGCTAGTCCTTGACTTTACCCACTCGGTCACCCTAGAGTTATTACTTACGAAGAAGTTCATCGGCTGTATGAATGAAATACAATACATATTCTCATTTGATTCTCCAATTTTCTTTAATTATGAAACTCAATAGAAATATGGTAAACAGCCTGTTTACTAACAATCAATAAATAATGAGTTGACAACATTCCCAAGAATGAAAGCGAGTGAATTCACATTTCTCAATATGGAAAATGAAGAAATGTTTTTCTCCTGGATGATTGGTACCATGGAATGGCCCGTGGAAGGAATTTTATTTGTGAAAATTCAGGACTATGGAATCAATCAGAAAATGTCGATGGGGGTCGAGGAAATGTACAGTTATTTGGATTCATGTAGCGGATTGGATCCTATATATTCAGCGATGAGGCGAGAGGATTCATTAAAATCTATTTCTCCGTCTCTCTGTCAACGTCGGTTTCCTCCTACCCAACGACCCCGACGTCTGCCTCGTATCTAGGTCGACTACGATCAGCTGAATTACAAACCACCAGACGCAATTCAAATATTAACGAGGGCTGGTGTTAATAAGTCTGATGAGTGTCAAATTTTTAAGGGCATTGTCTGATCGTCGACGGTGATTTTTCACTTGTCTGGTTTCCATCGATAGATCAATGCAGTATTGGGAATTTTTTAGTGTATAGATATGTATATATCTATATTGTTTGCCAAGAACTACGTCTTTTGTAGGAGAGTAAGTTTATTTTAGGGTCGGATTAAGACGAGCGAGTTCTAGTATTTATATATATATATATATATATAAATACTGGAATATATATATATATATATAAGTGATAAAGTTTGCCAGACGTGTCAGCCATATATATATATATATATATATATTCCAGTATTTGTGATAAAACCAGGGATATAAAACAAATTATAAAAAAAATAAAAATAAAAAAAATAATTTTAAATAAATTTTTAAATTAAAAAAAAAAATATATATATAAAATTAATTTTCAATTAATCGACAAACATCGCCCATCCCCAGCCCTAGGGCATCATGATAACCCTTGCGAGAGAACCGGAGAGGTCAGAGGCAGATGCGAAGTCCTAGAGAAGAGTCTCAAAGAATCAACAGAGAGCAAAAATTGAGCCTTTGAGCATGAAAATTTCCTACAAAGTAGAAAAATTGAAAAATGAGGCATTTTTCACCTCACATTGTTTTTCAAAAAAAAAGAAAATCTAGAAAGACATTTCGTCCAATTAGAAAAAAAATTCATCTGTCAACTGTAAGTTGTCCCTTTTTTATTTGTCAGAAAATTTCCCGATCCGCTCCACAACATTCGATTTTCTACTTCTCCGAGAAATGCTGTCGTTGATTCACTTATTAACAAACTTTTGCCCTCACGACTCGTTGTCGTATACTTGTCAATTCAAAGGCCGTTACAGAGTCTAGACTCATATATTGAGTGAGGTACTTTTTATGGTGGTTGAGAGCGCAAAAAAAAACGGAATGAAGAAGAAAAAATCTAAAGGAGAGAGAAAGCGCGCAAAAAAATAAATAACAGTGAATAAGCTGTCATGCGAAAACGAGTCAGTGCCAATACGACAGTGTCTGAAGTGTACACTGTGTTTGATGGGTACTCTTTAAAGCTTCGTGTCTCTCTGCCCTCTCTTTCTTGGGTAACTATCGGGGCTGAGTCAAGTGTCTGTGACGAGTCACACCGAGGCCTCATTTACATGCAGACGCGTAGGGTCGCGGTAGGGCTTGTCCACTTGGCCCAAATTCGGTGTCGAGATTTCTTTTTCAAACGTTCTCTTTTATCTTCTTTTTTTGGGGTTGGACTAGACTCTAGGGCTTTCGGCAGATGAGACGTCTCGCGACCCACATGGGCTTGGGCTAATAAAAATTCAGAGGAAAAGGTTGAGAAATTTATGAAATTTAAAGGAATTGATATATCCGATTGGCTTTTGTGACAATTTACGACAGCTTTTGAATTGTGAAATTATTTGTGTGATAGTTAAGTGCGATTTATTATTTTTTTTTCCCATTTTTCAACACTGACGAATTATTAATTAGGGATCGAGGGGAAATTTGAAGAAATAATGTAACAACGTTCGTTAATTTGTCACAGATGCGACGTTTCGCTACATATTTTGGCTTCACGGAGAGAAAATTTTTAGAAAAATTCTAGTGCTAGCACGGGAAATGAGACGCAAAGTGACGGTCAGGAAAAAATTCCAGTGTCGGCACTAGAAGTTTTATTGGGGAAAACGTGAATTTTTTCCCGTATTTCTGGGAAAATTTCATAGAAATCCCCAGAAATTTTGCCAGAAATACCAAAAAATTTTATCTTAACAGCACCTGAATGTTTCACAGCCGGTGGATTGTAATTTTTTCCAGTACCCGTACTAGAATTTTTCTAGAAAATTTCTCTCCGTGTATCGTAATTTTTCACAGCAGATTCAGATAAAAATTACGGAACGCTCTGAAAAAATTCCGTGACAATTCCTTAAAATTTCCTACCACCACATTTCACTCCGTAATTACGGAAAAGATACGTAATTTTTATTGAATATTTCTCTCCGTGTTCGGAAAATGCATAAACATCTTCAAATTCTCAAAAACATCGATTTTGCCCTAATAGTTTTTTATAAATTTTTTCATCTTTTTTTAAATCTCTCTTTCTCTCACTCAGTGTTCCGGGTAAAATGGGTCATTTTGTTTTTCAATTACTATTTACGGAAAATCGATGAAAATAATGACAAATTAAAGCGGGAATGAATCCGGGCGAAGCCACTCCCGACGAATTTATTCATACCCTGGAACAATGGGCCATTGCACACACATGGGATGAGGTGGCGGAATGCAAATCTTGGTGGAGGCAATAATTGCCCAACGAGAAACGTGTCTACGAATGTCACGGGGACTACGAGTTTTTCACGGTCGCCGAGTGTGCGGCGGTTCCCTTCCAATTTCTGTCTCTTTAGTTTTTTCTTATTTTTACTTTTATTTTCGTTTGGATGGATTGAGCGCCACTCGAAGAGTGAACTCTCGAAGTGCATGAGTTCCAGCCAATTAATTCGATTCCATTGTTTTTGAGTTTTTTAATTGAAAGGAGAAGAATTTCACATCGTCGCTTTTTTTTCTGTTTGTTTTCAGGTGCCTCTTGTGAATAATACGAGCAAGTCTGGGCTGGGTGCGGCTAGCCCCGCAGTGGAGGTGGATCCTAATGTCGAGAAGAAACAGGCGCTCTGGAGGAAGACTAGGGAGAGATATGACGGCATATCCTAGTGATTTTTATCAATTTTATGGTAGGGGAGAGTGGTCCATAATGAAACATAGGGCAAAATGAAACAGTAAAAAAACGACTATTTGACGCAATTCAAGCAAAAAAAATTTTTTTTATTAATTTTTTTTTTATTCTTGGGAGTACTGATGAGAATAATAATTTTCCATTCAGTAGAATGGAAAAATATTTGAGAAGTTTTAACGGGCGAAGATGTTTTCAATGGATTAATTGAAAAGAAAGTTAAACAGCAAAGTCCAGAGCAAGGCCCAGGGCAAGACCCACAGGGGGAAAAAGGAAAATCTGATGCTAAATTTCAATCGAATAATCCATTGACAAAATCTGCGCCCATCAAACTTCTCAATAACTTTTCGTTCTACTGAATGGAAAATTATTATTCTCATCAGCACTCCCAAGAATTAAAAAAGTTAACAAAGAAGAAATTGGATAAAAAATTTTTTTTCCCTTAAATTGCGTCAAATTGCCGTTTTTTGACAGTTTCATTTTGCTCCACTCCCTTCTACATATTTATAAATTTATTATATTAAATTTCTGGGGGCGGGGGGACATGTGGGGGTGAAAATGATCACAATCTATGAGCCTGGAATTCCATCAATAGAAAAAACGTAGAGAAAAAAATAGGGACAACTCGGGGACAACTCATTTCGGTCCATTGATTTTTCGGGAGAAATTGAGAAGAAAATTCAAATCCAAAGTCCAGAGCAAGGCCCAGGGGAAGATCCAGACGGGCAAAAAGGAAAATCTGATGCTAAATTTCAATCGAATAATCCATTGACAAAATCTGCGCCCATCAAACTTCTCATTAACTTTTCGTTCTACTGAATGGAAAATTATTATTCTCATCAGCACTCCCAAGAATAAAAAAAAGTTAACAACGAAGAAATTGGATAAAAAATTTTTTTCCTTAAATTGCGTCAAATTGCCGTTTCTTGACAGTTTCATTTTGCCCCACTCCCTTCTACATATTTATAAATTTATTATATTAAATTTCTGGGGGAGGGGGGACATGTGGGGGTGAAAATGATCACAATCTATGAGCCTGGAATTCCATCATCAATAGAAAAAACGTAGAGAAAAAAATAGAAAGGGACAACTCATTTCGGTCCATTGATTTTTCGGGGGAAATTGAGAAGAAAATTCATGACCAGAATTTGGTTATGGGATTAGAAAGTCCAAAGTGAAATGGTCTTCTACAGTTTTTCAAAAATTGATAGGGGCAATATGGGTTATTTTTGTATTGGATTGGATGGAAAATTTTGTGATTTATTGAATGGAGTCATTTTCAACCCCATTTCAAGAGGGAATTTGCTCAGAGAGAGCGATGAAATGATGATGTATTTCATATTATCCATTTTTCATAGGAACTGAAGGAGCAAAGACCTCGGGCCATTCGGTATGTACATTATCATCGTAAATGTCCTCATAATTCTTTCACTGATTATTTAATAAACGAAGCGGTGGATACTGAGAAGGAGAGAAAGCAGTCAGTGGTAATTTAAACACTGAAGTTTTTTATTTTTTACTTTGTTAGAATCATTGTGAATTTTTTACACTGAACATTGTGAAGAATTGTTGGTATAAATGTAATAAATGGATATAAAACTCAACGTTTCAAAATTATTCTGTTTAAATTCATTTAATCCCAATGGATGAGTGAAAAAATTCCCTCTGGGGTTATAACAAGTGGAAAATTGCTCCTGTATTGCGTATAGTATAGTTATTTTTGCTAATAAATTGACAATATCCTTCCGAATGGCGACTTTGCTTATTTTTTCCATTGAATATTATTCATTGCCTATTTTATTTCCACTCTGCTCCATTAGTTTTGAAAATTATAGAAGAGGACAATTTTTGGGAAATTTTTTTTTTTCAATTTTTTTAGGTCAATTAGTTTCAAGTTTCATTAGGTGTCAAATTCAAGTTGTGCAGAAAAATTCTTGTGCTGTACTCGGGAAATGTAGGATAAATTTGAAGGTCTCGGAGGATTATAACTGATAACTTGATATGTAATTAAAAACAGCCTACGAGTATTAACCCTCGATTGCTCATGCTTGGCCACCAGTCTTCATCCGTCGCACGGTTAGCGCACCGCCCCTGGGTTAAACCGAGCGCGCTGGTGCCACATTGGCGCTGACCGCTATGCGCGCATTCCCCGTGTGGCCGTGAATGTAGCAACACTGTCGCTCGAGCGGTCGGCAGGGACTCACCCGCACCGTGCAGCGTGGCGCCGATTTTCCGTCCGCGCGAAAATTTGCGGGACATTATCATTTCCATTTCATTTAATTTTCTTCATTTTATTTTATTTTTTAGATCGAGTCAGATGACCGTCAGTTTGGGGTCATACGACTCGATCTAAAAAATGACTGTCCGTCAGAAAATTTGTGCGTCAGATGGCCGTCATTCTGCGGTCACACAATTAGATATAAAAAATGACAGTCATTTTACAATTCAGTAGCGAAGTGGTAAAACGGTACAAGTCAATTTTGACTATTGATCAATTTTTAATGAATATCTTGAAAACTAAGGGAGATAGCAAAATTTTTGTTATAACCTTTTTTGTAGAGCCGATTGAGAGCCACAATAAATGTAACTGCGAAAATTTCGCCATCTCCCTTAGATTCGGAAATATTCCTCAAAAACTAAACTGGGAGATAAGTCGACTTAAACCATTTTACCACTTCGCTACTGATTTCTAACTGCAATTACCGCCGAAAAAAATACAAAAACCCAAAAGCGTACTTCACCCGTCCAAACTCCATCCGAAACTTCTTTCCCCATAGAAATCCTCGACATTTTTGACTGTAGTCATTCCCCGAAACCCGTCTTGTACCCAAAACTCTCGGAGTCGTCAAAAAAAATGTGGAAAAAGGTAAAAAAATATAAAAGCAAATAAGAGAAAGAAACGTGAGAATTTCGACTGGTTAAGCTGTCGTTGTGTATACGACGTCATCGCTTTCGAGTTTGTACCTCAGCCCCCTCCCCCCCCTTTAACCGTCGAAAGGTTGCCCCCCTCTGAAAAATTCAGAGTTGCGAAGTATCATTTTTATAAGCCCCATAAAATCCACTGCTCTGGCCATTTCAAACGAAAAAGAAAATAGTTCTCGAGCCCATTCGCAGGTCTCTGTTGTCCATTGGGGCTCTTCAAAGGGTGGGATAGGGGGGTTGGGAGGGGGAGAGGGGAAGTGCTATTAGCCGGGTCCCAGTATAAAATTGACTTTTTATCGCCCTCAGACTGAATGCGACTGGAAATTAGTCAGAACTCTCTCACTCTTTCCCTCTCCGCTGTCTTTTTGCTCTTTCTTCCCTCCTTTTTTCCTTTCATTTCTTAGCGCATACCGATTCACTGACAAAACACTTTCATCGAATGGGATGAAGTTTATATGTCTGCCTTGGTCTATATTCGTCTGACCAACTGAATCAACAATAAAATGCAGAGGCTGGCGGAGGGAGGGGGAAGGGTTGCTAAGTGATTTCTATCGGGTTTCTCGAGGGTTTTGGTTGTTTTTGGGTGGGGAAAACGAGGTTTGTCGATGGGTTCAACGATGGACGAATTGCCCCAACAGTTTACAGACGATGGGGAATCAAATTTTTGGTTGACAACTATCCGTCCTCTCAAAATCGATTTTTTTAGTGCTTGAACGATATTTTTTACGTAAAGGGGAAGACAGTGAGAGCAATAAATTTTTTTGAGAAATACGTCTTTACTTATTTATTGCTAGAATTTTTTTGAAATTTTATGGATGATATTGTAGTAAATCTCATGAGAGTGACATTGAATTGGATTTAGGGAAAAAAATGGTTATGAAATTTCAAGTTTTAAGTGGAATTCACGGGAATTCATGAGTTTTTAGTGGGAGTGAGATGGAAATTTCACAACTTGATTGAATTTCCAGTGGAACATGAATATTCAGAGACAAAATGACATGAATTTTTTTTTCCCTGAATTTTCCTGATTTTTATGAACTTTGACAGAATAATTCAGTGGCGAAATGGTAAAACGAGTTAAATCGACTCAGTTGAGTTTTTGGAGATTATTTTCAAATCTAACAGAGATAGCGAAATTTTCGTAATTACATTTGTTGTAGCACTCAATCGGCTCTACAAAAACGGTTATAACAACAATTTTGCTATCTCGCTTAGATTCCGAGATATTCATTAAAAACTGGTCAATAGCTAAAATTGTCTTGTACCGTTTTACCACTTTACTATACTGAAATGAACTGAAAAATCATGTATTTTATTGATTTCTAGATCATTTGAACAGAAAATCAATGGAATATTTAATTTTTCAATGACAAGATTTCGTGGAATTTCAGTGGGACTTGAACATAATAGAAATTTCCGGAATTTGGCACGAAAAGGTCAGACTAAATTTTTAATAGTGTTCGTTATACTCTAGTTTTTTTTACGACATCGAAAAACGTAACTTTCCGGACAGATAATAGCAAACAATCAAATCAAGGGGAGACTACTATGAGTTTGAAAAGTCGTGGGTTATTGGAGTGCGACTTTTCATACGTTAAAGATCGATTACATAGATCTGAAAACGAATAATTAGTGCAAAAAAAAATTTTTTTTTATTGTTCGTTTGCCCAAAAACGCTTAAAGTGCCAAAAACAGTCCAGAGCCTCCAATTTTTGAGCTACGAAGGATTTTTTGTTCAAAATTTTCGGAAAAATATGTGGAATAACAATTGAGCTATTTTTTTTTAATTCGCCTTTTACATGGCCAAATTTGCTTTTTTTTGTATTTTTTTACACAAATAGTGAATTTTTTTATATGAAAAAAAACCGAAATCAGCCNTTTTTTGTTCAAAATTTTCGGAAAAATATGTGGAATAACAATTGAGCTATTTTTTTTTAATTCGCCTTTTACATGGCCAAATTTGCTTTTTTTTGTATTTTTTTACACAAATAGTGAATTTTTTTATATGAAAAAAACCGAAATCAGCCGTGTAGGAGTCAAATTCCAAAAAACTGGCTCGTAATTGTTGTTCCACACATTTTTACGAAAATTTTGAAAAAAAAAAATCTTTTGTAGTTCAAAAATTGGAGGCCCCAGTGCAATTAGTGCAAAAAAAAATTTTTTTATTGTTCGTTTGCCCGAAAACTCTTAAAATGCCAAAAACAGTCCAGGGCCTCCAATGTTTGAGCTACGAAGGATTTTTTTTTCAAAATTTTCGGAAAAATACGCGGAATAACAATTACGAGCTATTTTTTTTTAATTCACCTCTTACATTGCTAAATTTGCTTTTTTTCTATTTTTTTACACAAATAGTAAATTTTTTTATATGAAAAAAACCTAAATCAGCTGTGTAGGAGTCGAATTCCAAAAAACTGGCTCGTAATTGTAGTTCCACACATTTTTCCGAAAATTTTGAAAAAAAAACTTTTGTAGCTCAAAAATTGGAGTTTGGGGCCAGTGGGGCCAGTGGTTGGCCAGTCCTCGCCTACGGCTCGGAGGCCAACGCCACACGAGTAAAAAACCCCATCGCAACAGGCCGGAAAAATACTATTTTTGTTGCACTAATTATTCGTTTTCAGATCTATATAATCGATTTTCAACGTATGAAAAGTCTCACTCCAATAACCCACGACTTTTAAGACTCACAGTAGTCTCCCCTTAAAAATCCGCCAGGATATCCTTAAACCGTTTTATCCCTTCGCTACTGAATGACAATTGACTTTTACCTGAGAAACCGAACAAAAATGAAATTGATTCAATTCACTATTCACTATTTTACGTCGAGATTATAAATTGTCTCTAGTTGAATGAAGATCAAGAGTGTGATTTGTAAAGGAACAAAACACAAGACCGAGAACAGGGCCAATGAGGTGCATCAAGGCCAGACGGGTGGCACTCGGGTCTTCCTAGTAAAAGAAGGGGGGAGGGGCCAAAAAGTACCTGACAGAGGACAAATGAGGCTCATTTGTTAGCGCCGGGTTGGCTCGCATTAGGCCCCCAAACATCTCAGAGTCCAGAGAGTTCGTAGTGACGAGGGAAGTGCAAAAAATACTCCAAAGGAGAGATAAAAAACGAAATTTCATTTTTTTTCTTCTTCATTCTCCTAAGTGATTCCCAACAATTAGACAGGGGGGTCGAAGATTACCCCAATCAATACCCATCAAACGAAAAAAATACGACCCATTTTGCCTTCCAGACTGCCAAAAAAATTACGAGAAAAAAAAATCTCTTGGTTTTTATACATTTTGGTCATTTTAAATTGTTTAGAAAATTCTCTGACTCGTGAATGTAGTCGAGAATGACCCATTCTGCCCTAGAATTTTTGAGAAAATATAAATATAAAATTTTTAAATATCCGTTTATGAAATTATGAAACAAATTTCATGTGAGAAATTGTTTTTATATTAATTTAGTGTAGTTTTGCTTCCGGATGGAAGCTTTGTAGTCGTTCAAATTCGTTTTAAGTTCTGGATTTTTTGTTTTATATCGACCCAGTTGATCCAAAAAGTCTGATAATTCAATTTCTAGACCCCGTTCTTAACACGTGTGAGTGTGTATGTGTGTACGTATGTAACACATACGTGTCGTCAATTATTCGCTAATGAATGTAAAAAAATTTAATTCATCGAATAGTTTTTTTAAT